TCAATATGCAATTGTATGGTGGTAACAGCAATCTTCTTATTTTTTCAGTTACTGTATTCCACTATATAATAAATTTTGTGCTAACATTTTATCATTCATAAAATCTGCTAGTCAACAAAGCAAAAGATTGAAGGCTTGTCCAACCCATAGGTATAGAGATTTTTCAAAAACTCTCAGCCTATTCAGGAATACCACAATAACTTTGGGTTAGATCCAACAAAAATACTTAAAAATCAGGCATAGCAATATAATACACATTTCCAGAGTGAAATTTGAGAGAGGCTTCCTGTAAATATGTGCAAAAAGTCAAACTGTTCATCTTCTGGAGACAGCAGTAGTGTACTGCACAATCTCACTGGGTCATTTTTTTGTTTAGGATGTTCAAATGGCACAAGCATAAAAGCCACCTGAAGAAAGATCATTCACAAAGCTATAGATAACAATGCTGTGCAGAGTGGAAGCGACTTTGATACGGAAATGGTCCTTTATATGAAAACAGAGAATAGTCCCTAAACTAAAAATTTGGTTCTGATTTTGTGGATCTAACTACTAACATTTTGATACCCAAAAAGTCTCCAAATTAATTTGTATAGCTGGTCCTCCTTTGGGTCCAGCCCTAACAGCAATCAGATGGGAAAAATCACAGATGCAATGTCTTGTTTCGTTTTAGAAAGCTTTTCTTCTGGAACTCTTATTTCTGGACCACAGACATTACAGCACACATTAGTTAGGAAGAGCTGATGTGCACCTTGTGCTCAGAGGAATAGATTGTGATGCCTGTGAGAGTGCTACCTGCACTCTATAATTACCAGCATGAGCTGGTCCGAGCCCTCACCTCATCTCCCAGGGCTTTGCCTTCTGCGCTCATGAGCTTTAGCCCTGGGAGCGAATTTCACTGTGCCTAGGCGGAAAAGCTGTTGACTGTAGACTTTATCACAGAACTCTCAGAAAACTTCTGTACAGGCTTAGACTCAGGCAATTCTGTTCCTTGATGTTTACACAATTTTAAGAGAAGTCTGCAAAGAGAGACAGTAGCAGCTCTGAGGAGCTCACAGCTGCCTGTCACTGAGCAGACATGCACAGTACTCTGCACTGGCCTTTCTGAGGGACTGGTGGCTTCAGACTACATATGTTGCATTTCTGTAGCCCAGAAAACGAGTGACAAAATCAAGTATAATCAAGGCCATATCCTAGCTGCCAGGACGAAATGCAGACCTCCAGTCATCTAGAGATGATAACATGTTATTTGAAGATGTTGCTATGTGAAAGCTTATGGCTATACCCAGAAAGGGTCTTAGATCACTTTCTTCGTCAGTCCTAGTCAAGAAACAGCTTGTTGCAGGGAGACAAGGATGGGACTCCTTATCCTCTGAAAGATGGAGGCAAAGATCTTGAGCACACATCCAGGAAGTGGAAAACCCCATTCAAAATCTGTTTTATAGCTCAGGCAGATGAAGCACGTTTGAATTTGGGCCCTTTCACACCTCTGTGTATGAGCTATCCTGTAAGATACCAGCTCCAGAGGAATCACCAGCTCCTTGTCCATTTTCTTCACCCCAAAGAGAGAAGACTTTCTCAGGCATTTATCTCCAGAGCAGGGTTGTGAGCTTTGAATACCAAGAAAAATATTTCAATCTGGCAGTTAGATACTCAGCTCCTTGGATGGAGGACTTTTAGGTCCGATCAATCATCTCATCCCTTCCAACTGACTAATTTAAGCAGCTCCCAGTTTATTTTCAAGGCTTCTCTGAATTCTATTTCTACAATCTGGTGTCCGAACGCAAAGTGTAAGGCATGAGTATGTCACTGATTTCCAAAGAAGCAGGCATTGCAATGCTGAGCATGGTGTTGTCCATAACATTTTTATGGATTAAGCCTTCCCAGCAGCGAAGTACCGCCACAGTACTCCCATCCTGGTCAGCTACGCTGGCCCATGGTGAGCAGACACTTTCCAGCCACGTACCTGGCATCTCTGCCAGCAACGTGCTACAGCTTCAGACTCTTTGCACCCACTGTAAAACTAACAAAGCATTTCTCTCTCTGGGAGAAGAGACAGGGCAATGCTGAGCCCTTTTGAGATTCTTACCAATGGAGTAAAGAAATGGAATGTTTTCCTACACTGTCTATAAGTTTTCTTCAGTCCCAACACGAAGGATCATCCATAGAAAGATGAATGGTCCTGGTCTTCAAGCCTATTCATTCCTTGGATGTCCTATTGAGACTGACAAAATGTGTCATTAAATAGAAACCTGATCCAGTTTCAATTAACTTCAGAGAAAACTGGATTGTAATCTCAGCACAACTGGGGTGACAGATTCTTCAATATGGGCATTTACCTATTGAGAATTTGATGGATACCAAATTCAGATCACATAGAGCTGGTTACACATCTTGTTATTATCAAGCTGTGCTCAATTTGGAGAAAAAAACACACCCTAGTTTTGAAAAGTTTTACATCCTGTCACCAATATCTCAAGCCTTCTAATACATTTTCATTTTGATTTAATAGAAGTTGAACTTAAGTTTTATGTTTCAGCATAACAATTTTCATGTCTGAAAAGATTTATGTTATAAATCCTACTTGCTTCACTTGTCTCTTCTAAAAATTCAATGATAACCAGGTAATTTTCTTCAGAAGATTCAGAAGTAGTCCTTATTTTAGGGTTCTGCGTTGGCACAAGGTAAAATGCTTTTACAACAACTCACTGTTATTTCTCACTAAATATTCTTTCTATATTATTATTTCCAAATATTTTTTTCTATCCAGACATACACATAACTCATATTGGCATTAATAGGAGTCCCACATACAGGGCAAGGGTACAGGTAATATTATTTCTGTAATTCTATTGGCTTTTTATGAACATTTTTCAGATTTTCTGGATAATAATGAAAAAATGAAGAATTCTTACAGAGCAACAACCAGTACAGCAAGTGTTATTACTCGAGTTTCTTACATAATGATTTTGTTAAAGAACAACTTACATCGTTACTAGAGTGACATGTAACTAATGACAGAATCTATATCACAAATATACTAGTTAATTCTTAGAATGGTTGCAAAACATTTGCTCTCTATAGTAAGACAACTAACCAACCTCTTTTCAGGGAAGGTTCCACTTCACCTAAACCAAGAGAAAAGAACAAAAGTCAGAGAAGAGATATCATAATATTAATTTTTTTTTTTTCTCATGTTGGCTCATTTTAATTTTTAAAAAAATTCTATTCTTTACATGCTAAATGGCAAGCACTCTATTCTGAGATTTTGGATTTTTCATAACACATCTCTCTTACCGCAGAGGTTTTCCTGGGTTTGAGGTAGATAAATTCAATGTGCAGTAGTAACCAAGGAAACGTTCAAATCTGCGTTTGTGCTTCTGAATGTTAACTTGTGACTACAATTTACAATTTGCTTGATTTTATGCATGTTTCCATGTTTTAAGGAAAGGCCCAGTGGTTCCGTTTTAGGTCCAAATAATAAAATGCATTTGCAGGTTAGCAAGGTTGTAAATCTAGCAACACTTCCAGTGAAATCCAAGGTAAAAAATACTCAATTTCAGTGGAACTATGAGCATTTGATTGCTGCAGTGTGTCACTCCACCTCCATGTGGGACATGGAATTTAAAGGATTGAGCCTGGATGACTGTGGTAAGTGTGTGACCTCAGCTGTACTGACTGCAGCGCACAATAGGCAGCGAGTTCACATGCACTTAGTTTTTGTGATATAATGCAGTATGTTGCCTACTGCCTTTTCACACTCCTGGTAGGTATTGATGGGCCAAAGACTGGGACTGAGGTTTCCAAACACTTCTTAGTGAGCATTCAGATCTTGAATTTTTTATGTCAGGTATTTTATGACCTTTCCTACTTGCATTGACACTTAACCACTCAAGCATTTGAAAGCTTGCAGATGCTTTGGGAGCTACGAACTGGTAAAAATGAACACTTCTGAAATTTTAGCAAGCTCTCCATATTTCACCTTTTCTGTTTCTCAAACATATGAGAGATTGGCTCTCTGCTAGTTGTAAATCATGTCTCAGAATAGGATGCCCAGTTCACAGACTCACATGTAGCAGCCTATCTATTAGTATTCATATATGGTGCTAATATAAAAAGCTCATGTGCACATTTGGAAGGTAGAAATTCGATAATGTCTCAAGTTTCTGAACAAATGGGTAGAAGTCAGTTTCAGTACATCTTGCTTTTTAATTATATTCTTGTACAGCCAGATAGAATATAAAATAAACTACCGTGAAATGAAGACGTCACTCCTACACTCATCGCTTGTCAAAATGACCAATATGATGTGACATGATGATCCACTACTGCTCTGCTCATACCAGGGAACTACTTTTTTTATGACAGGAGGATAATTATTTCCAAAGTTGAAATGTTAGCAATTTACTTTCATTTATCAGATGATGTCAGATGAAGAATGTTATTATAATGGCAGAACCATAATTTCTAGTAAACTGAATTATTTGCAATATGCCACCCAAAATACCCTTAGTTCAGCCAAAATGCTATTTTTTCTTTTCTTTTTTTTTTTTGTTTTTGTTTTAATATATAGTCCTGTCACAAATATATCAAATAAAAAAGTTCTAAGTTTCTTGGTCTAGCTTGTATATTTACAGGGGTTCTTTAGATTCTTGCTCATTAAAAGAAAATAGCTATTGCCATTCACTGAAGGAATATCCTGATGTATATTTTGGTTGTGGCTTTGAAGTCTTGTATAAATTAGTGCTCTCTACTTCAAAATGTACTAATGGTAATATTTAATTCTGACAGCTTTTCTGTAATGGTACATTAAACACGAGATGAAAGCTAACAAAGAGACCAATTTACTGATTGGAATAGCCAGTAGATGCTTTATTAGCAACAACGTTCACTTTTCATTTTGTTTGACCTTCTTGTCTATGAGGTTAAAAGCTGAGTAAGCCAATATAATGCATGTAAAACAGCAGTTAGAGCAGTTACAGAAGTCTTTACATTACAAATACCTTCATCACTGTCATCATCATCACTCCATACGATGTCAGACAGTAAAGAAATAAAGCCATAAAGCCAATCAGTGGATTCTTCCAATGTCTCATGAATGATTCTCAGTGGTTCTGTGCTGAGCTTGTTAACAGATCTTCCTGAGTGCAGGGTTAAAAAACAAAAGCATTTTGAAAAAAAAAATACTCCTTCAGTGATTAAAGTTAATCTTCATTTTATACAGGACTAATTATACTACCCCTTTAACAGAAACAAAGATTGTGAATGTTAATTTTTATTATTCAAGGGTTTGAAGACAGCTCTCCTTCCTGTGCAAGACTGATATAAACTGTATCTTACTATACTTGCTGTTTGCAGACTGATTCAGGACCCAGTGGATAATTTGGTCTGATACTGCACTCCAAGTTCTGGCTCTTCTTTTAGGCTTCGTTGGGCGAAAGATAAAGATAGATTTGATTCTACCTAATATTCATCCTTTTAGTCTCTTCCTTTCAGCCCACTTTTTTTCCCTGGCCCAGGTCCTCTGCCTCTCGATGCCTGTTTAGGATTCACTGCCGTCTGTGTCCCACTCCTCATGTCACATCTCCCCTTGAGCCCCCTCTTTACACAAGTCCTGGCTGAGGAAATTGCTGAGCCCTGGCTTAACCACACAGACAGGTCACATCATTGCCATGGAGTACGTGTAAAGGATGGAAAGAAGCAAGCTATGTATACTTGGCCAAAATAAACCTGAGTCCATCCAGAATGAAGGGGAATGCAAAGTCCAAATTGTGACACAGAGACAGCTACTTTCAACCACGTATTCCTGTGTGTCTGGTTCTTCTCTTACAACTTTTCTAGAGTTTCTTCCACATACACTTGTGCACATCTGCATACTTAACTAGTTCTTGTCTTACTGCTCCTTGTAGGCAAGTAAGCTGGCAAGCAAGGAAGCTGTGCAGTTCAATGTGCTCCACCTTCTTGGGACCTCTAATGGAAGTGAGGTCCCTGCTCCCCACTGCATCCACACCCAGGGAGAGCAACCATCAGTGGGTAATACAAGTATTCTCTTAAAGGCTTTTCCAATTGTGATTTCACCAGGTTTCTCCCCATCTGGTTTATGCTGACACAGTATTTCAGAGGAACTTTCCGGCCTCTGACAGAGTATTTCTTCTGACCTTTCTGTCCAGCAAATTTTATTTTCTTGAAATGTGCACCAAACACTGCTTAGGAAGAGGGACACTCTCATTCAGTCCATGTTACTGTCCACTGTACTTGAAACGGCAGACTGAATGATTGCCCTATCTGTGTGAAGGTTTCCTACAAATGTAGACAATTGAAAGTAGATCACAAATGTGATTTGAGTTGTTGGCCTAGTCTTGGTCCTAGGAGTTTCAATAGAAATATATACACTGAATTTAACAGTATCAAGACGGGAACCATATCTCTGTTTACCACTATCTTTCTGTATGCAAATATTTTAGTAGGAAGTTAAATACAAGTCTCTTCAGAACTACTTCTGGTTGCAGTGTTCTGACTCACAAGCCAAATCTTAGCAGTAATTAGAAGTAGTCTCACATGGACTTGCAGGTTACAAAAACAGGCAAAGTGCAGGCTTGAAGCAACTTCTTTGATGGCAGCAGTATGAACAGTTATTTTCTAAAAGTGCTGTAATAAAATATACAAGTAACTTTATTTGAAATATAAATGTATCACTAAATAATTCCTTTTATTTCTAATTAATTAATCTGAAACAGAAAAAAAAAGGCTGATTTTCTATTATTTTGCATCTGCTTATCAATAATGTAGACCAAAGATATATTTTGGTTAATGTTTTTTTGAAGGTTGTATTATATAGATATATGCTACTGAACAGTCAGGCACATCAAATAAATTAATTGTGTGCCATGAAGAAATGACAAAATTGCAAAGAATATATGCATGATCTCTTAATTTAGTGTACTATTATGTGCACTATTGTATTCAGAAAGATTGAGTAGTATAACAGGGAATATTTACTTTGCTTATCATAAGGCATTTATTTATTTGCATTGGCCTCATGCATTGAGATGCAGAGATTTTATTTTTTCAACTGCTTTGCCACAAATGCTCTTCTCAAGTGTTTACCAGGAGAATGAATACCTACATTTAGGCTATTAAAAAGTAAATCTGCAACCCGACCCCTGATGTGATTTGCATTTTATTCTAATCTAGAGGTGCTAAGGAGTCCAAGTGGACTAATAGAATGGACGTGGCCAGAGGGGTCTTAACATAACTGAGGTTTTGATTCACAAGCAGGGATGGTTTAACTTTAGACAGCTGCCTTGATTTCCACTCTGGCTATCCACCTACCCTTTACCCACTGGCTGCTTAGGGATGGCTCAGTTGCTTTTACAGCCAGAGGCTTTTACAGCTGCAGGGACTACAGCTGTAAACTAAAAAAGAATTGGTGTCAATTTATTTTAATATACTGTTCTATCAACTAGCAGTTCAAGAACTGTTTCACAGGTAGCAGAGCTGTCCCCCTGGGCAGGCAAGGGAAATGGTCAGAGAACAAGATCAAGAGCAGAGGAAATTACTCCAACCACCCCAAAGCAAGCCATCTTTGCTGATGAATCAGAGCCCTCAACGTCATATCCTGGTCTTTAATTCTTAACATCTTCATAGCAAACTATGAAAAGGGATTAGAAATTGTAAGTGTCCAGAGGTGAAATTCTCCAGTCACACCTACACTAACAGGCCCAAGTTGCAAATCCTGTTTAACATAAAAGGTATAGAAAAATCAGTTTGAGGCTGTGTAGAGGACACTTTAGTGGTATTTACAAAATTAAATTTTGCATGCAAACAGATACTGTGAGATCCACTTGTGGTCTGATGCAAGTGACACAGGCCTGGAAAGTTGTCTCCTTGTGCATAGATCTTTTGTTTAACTTTTCTTGTATTTCCTATGTTTTTAAAAAGTAGTGCTAACAGTAACGATGTCCTAAAATGCTTAAGAACACCACATGAGGTAAGGCTGAAGTGAAAATTGCTACTGATCAAATCAATGCTTTTAGCTCTCCCCACAATTTTGACAACAGCAGGTTCTTTCC